AGGACCTCTTTCATGTGCTGAAGAGCAAAGATGTCTCCTTGAGGACTAAGGTGCACCTGACACAAGCCACGGTATTTTCAATTGCCTCATACACATGTGAGAGCTGGACAATGAATAAGGAAGACCAAAGAAGAGTTCATGCTTTTGAATTGTGGTGTTGGCTAAGAATGCTGAAAGTACCATGGACTGTTAAAACAACTAGCAAATCCACTCTGGAAGAAGTGCAGCTGGAACACTCCTTGGAAGTGAGAATGGCCAGACTTTGTCTCACTTACTTTGGTCATGTTGTCAGAAGGGACCATTCCCTGGAGAAGGATGTTATGTTTGGTAAGGTGGAGGATCAAGAAAGAGGGGAAGGGCCTCAACGAGATGGATAGACACAGTGGCTGTGGCTACGGGTTCAAGTATAGCAAGAATAGTGGAGATGGCATGGGACTGGGCTGTGTTTCATTCTGCTGCGCATAGGGTTGCTGTGAGTGGGAGATGACTCGACAGCACCTAACAACAACATACCAAATAAACAGGTAGTAAATTGATGTTGTTCTTTATCAATACAGAGCATCTTATACATGTTCTCTGGCTTTCACATCTGGCAAGGGGGGTAAAATAGACCAATTACACCTGAGATTCAAAAGCAGAAAGTCTCAGTCAGAGAACTGTTTGGCATTCAGTATCAGATATAGAATAACAGCAAGTTGGCTTCCAGTAACAGAACAACACTACTTCAGGTTAGCCTCCCACAATTTCTACTATCATTTCCCAAAACTGCAAAGTACTTCAAAGCAGGACTATCACTAGAAAGAGGAAATGACATCATTGTATAATGAAGGGACTGTATTTCCATCAAAGATGCCTTGATAAATGTGTGTTCATGATGGGCAGGCCAACCTCCACTGCCATACCTCCTTTCCTTCCCCTTGTCTAGGTCTCTGGGGTCTGATCAACAATGCAGGTGTTCTTGGAGTGCTAGCTCCTACTGACTGGCTGACTGTGGAGGACTATAGAGAACCTATTGAAGTGAACCTGTTTGGACTCATCAATGTGACATTACATATGCTTCCCTTGGTCAAAAAAGCTCGAGGGAGAGTTATAAATGTCTCCAGTGTTGGTGGCCGTCTTGCAATCAGTGGAGGGGGATATGCTCCATCCAAATATGCAGTGGAAGGATTTAATGACAGCTTAAGGTAAAGCAAGTTCACTTTTTCCTCCATCATTTCCATTCTGTTATTGAGCCCAAGCGGTGAATATCTTATCAAATTTTTTCACTTGGTTCTTCTATAGTTTATGTACTTATTGAAGCTTTCTAACTTCCTGTTCATTTGAAGAGCGTTTTCCCTTATCTTTTGGAGCATTTTTATAATAGTTGCCTTAAGGAGTTTAATAATTTCAACATCTTTGTCACCTCAGCATTGGCGTTTGTTGATTACGCAAGTTGAGATTTTCCAGGTTCTTTGTGTGCTATACAATTTTGGACTGTCTGCTAGACATTTGGAATATTGTATTATGAGACTATGGGTCTTATTTACGTTCTATTGAGAATGTTGATATTTCTGTGTTAGGAAAAAAATCAACTAGGTTATTTCCAGATCACAAGTCTTCTGTGAGCTGTGATTCAAATGTCTGTTCAGTTTTCAGTCTTATTGTGCTATTCAGGAGCTCTGGTGGACTAGTGCCTAAGGCATTTGACTGCTAACCAGAAGGCTGGCAGTTCAAACCCACCAGCCACCACTCCTTGGAAGTTGGAGTGGAAGGTTGGGCAATCTACTTCTATAGTGATACCCCCTTGGAAACCCAAGGACGGGTAGCTATGAGTCGAAATCAACTCGATAGCAGTGATTTGTATTTTTTTTTTTAATTGTGCTATTCATATCTGTCCTACATGTGCTCTACACAGTAACCAGTCTGAGATATGGAACATGGTCTATCTCATAGCTTTGTTCTCTAACTCAGATCCATGGACTTCATAAATAACCTTATGGAAATGCTTTTCTGAGCTCCTCCCTCTCCACAATCTCCCTTGTACTTTCTGGTTCCCTGGGACTTCCCTCCAGCCCAAAAGCTGGGGTTTAATTACCCTGCTCTGCCAACTACTTCTCAAAACTGTACTCATTATGGGACCAGGTGGTGGAAGCAAGAGAAACAAGCAGCAACATAGTTTCTTCCCACCTCCTTTGGATCACAGAAACTCTGATTAAAGAGGAAATTTCCCAGCATTCAGAGTTTTAAGACTTCAAGACTCCCACTGTGTCACTACCACTGCTGTGACTTCCATCACCACAAAATTGCCTGGTTTCTGGGCTGCAAGAGAAGAAAAAAAAAAAAAGAAAAGAAAAGAAAAATGAAGGATTTGACCTCTATCTCTGAATTTAGAATTCCCCTTAACGGCTTCTCAGAAGATCTCCGGGTAGGGCAAAACGTTTGCACTTCACTACCAACCTAAAAGTTGGCAGTTCAAATCTACCCAGCAGCATGACTAACGATTATAGCTAAAGAAACTCCATGGAGCACAGTTCTACTCTGTGACATACAAAGTCACCATGAGTCAGAATTGATTGATTGCAACAGGTTTGGGGTTTTTGTTTGATTGTTTGTTTCCCTGCTCTTCAAACCGACCTAGAGGGCCTCTCTTAGAGCTGCTGTCTGAATGGTATTTCTCCTAGAGCTCTTTCTGCCACTTGTGAGTTTTGTGTTGACTTGAGCCCTGACCAAGGAATATTGGAGTGGAGGAAAAAGGAAATTCTCTGTTGGTTCAGTCATACTTCAAATTCTGGTCTCCTCACCTACTGTCATTTGCTTTTCAAAGTTCTTAAATAGCTGCTGTATACACTCTGTCCACATTTCGCAGCTATATTCAGTGGGATAGACAAGGAAAATGTTCTTAATCTATCTTACCTTGTACTAGAACCTATCACTATCAGTTCAAAGCCCCAAAATTGCAAGTGATCGTATTAGTTAAGATTTTGTCAAGAAATGAAAACACACTAAAATTGAGTAAATGGAGCAATTTACTTAAGGGACTATTTATAAACATGTGAAATTTATATAGGAAAATCCCAAAAGATAATTCAGTATCTAAGGGCTAATGACAGCAGGGGCATTTCTACATGATAGAATAGAAGGGACAAGGAGACATGGATGTTTCCAGAATTAAAAGATATAGAGGCTGTCACCTTCAGTTCATGATTGAAATTAACTAGTGTTAATTTCACTAAGCCTACAGGGGGAATAATTAGCCCAATCTCTTTCTCCTCCCTTCCTCTGATCTACTGCTTGTACTTCCAATGGACTGTACTCATCAGAAGCCAGCATATAGTTAAAGCATAAGTCAGCCTCCCAGACTGTAGAGTAGGCAGAAGAGTGGAGAAAAGATTTGGAGAAACAAACAAAAGATATCCAGCTGAGTGGTGCCATGATAGGCAACAGAGAAGGCAAAAAATAGATATAAGGTTTCCCTTCTATTTCTTCATTTATTCATTTCGGAGCTCTGGTAGTGTAGTGCCTAAGGCACTTGACTGCTAACTAGAAGGCTGGCAGTTCAAACCCACCAGCCACTCCTCAGAAGGAAGATGGGGCAATCTACTTCCATAGTGATTCTGCCTTAGAAACCCAAGGAGGGGTCGCTATGAGTCAGGTCCGACTCGACGGCACATAACAACAACAACAACAACATTTATTCTTTTGACTAGTATTTGTTGAAGGTGCATGTTAGAGCTTAGATTCTAACCCATAGTTTTAGATTTTAGTTTCCTAATTAAATATTTAGTTCAGTAATTAAATATTAGGAGCTCTGGTGGCATAGTGCCTAAGGCATTTGACTGAGAACCAGAAGGCTGGTGGTTCAAACTCACCAGCCACTCCTCAGAAGGAAGGTTGGGCAATCTACTTCTGTAGTGATACCACCTCAGAAACCCAAGGAGGGATCGCTATGAGTCAGATCCAACTCGATGGCAGTGAGTTTGGTTTTGATAATTAAATATTAGATTATTCCGTTGAGATGAATAAAGACAGAATGACTCCATTTTACCATTTGATCAGCTTGTCAGGTTTGATTCTCCCAGGAAATAAACACAATATACCCTCTCCTTACTTATCAACTTTCCTGTTATCTGTCATTTCATATTTACAGCAATAGTAAAAAATCTACTATTCCACTATCTGTCACATTAACAACATACATCTGGCAGTAATGAATGTCAAGGAGCAAGGCAAGAGTAATGCTGGCTGTAATGGTTAAAGTTATGTGTCAGCTTGGCTGGGCCATGATTCTCAGTAGTTTGGCAGTTATGTAATGATGTAATGATGTAATCATCCTCCATTTTATGATCTGACGTGATCATCCTCCGTTTTCACATAATGATGATTTTTACATAAAGACCTAGTCTTTGGAACTAACTATGTCAATAAGTGAAAAAAGGAGTAACGCTAGAGCAGTGCTTCTCAAACAGTGTGCATTTGATCACCTGGGAACCTTGTTAAAATGCAGATTTTAATTCAGCAGTTCTGAAGTGGAACTTGAAATTCTGCATTTCTAACAAGCTCTCAGGTGATGTCAATGGTCAAGGGATCACACACTGAGTAACAAGGCAATGGGGAACCTCCATTGGTGTCCTTGGTCTTGGTTCCTCTCTGGCTCTATTCTGTAAGCAGCAGTATTATATAATTACATGTTAGTATACTTAGAGATTTACTCTACTTGCTTATAAAGAGATTTCAACTGAAGGTGGTTTTTCTATTTTGCTTTGTTTTGCTTTTAATGCAAACAACACATCTTTCAAAATCTCTCAGGGTGAAACTGATCTCTATTTTTTAGTAAAATATACTTCAAATTACACAATAGGCATATTGCTAGAAAGCAGAATCTAAGATACATTAAAGTATAGTTTAAGTTCACTGAAAAATCTTTTTAAAAGTCTTATGGTGAAGATCTCTATAAAATGAATGATTACCTCATTTATTTCTGGTGGAAATACAAACTAAATTTAAGAGATGATTATTCATATGCTGGTTGCTTTAAAGAAAAAAACCAAAACCAATTGCCCTCAAGTCATTTCTGACTCATAGCAACCCTATAGGACAGAGTAGAACTGCCCCATAAGGTTTCTAAGGCTGTGCTCTTTATGGAAGCAGGCTTCCACATCCTTCTCCCATGGAACGGCTAGTAGGTACAAACTGCCGGCCCTTTGGTTAGCAGTCAAATACCTAACCACTTGCACCACCAGAGCTCCTTGCTTTAAAGAAAGAGATACTATTATTCTTCCAAAACCTTACTGCCCAGTAAATGAGTAGATTTTTGGTTTTTTGCAGCAACGTAAAGAGCTTGCTGGGTAGTACAGGCAGATGGTTAGTCTTCTCAATGGTTGTCACGCTGTGTTCTTCAGCATATGTGTGTTGCAATCCCCTGACTTTCCTAAAATGGAGATAAAGTTATCCTTCCAGAATAGCCATTAGTCCATTTCACCATAAGATATTTTGAGTAATAAGAAGAAACATGTCCTTAACCCCAATGCTCATTGATTTAGTGAGATAGCAGGGCCCAGGGAGAAGAACATTGGCCTGGGGGTGAGTTCACCCACATCTCTTTCCTGTTCTGCCACTGACCAGCCCTCACTTCACCAGCCTGACCTTCAGTTTCTTCATCTTCAAAATGAAAGGGTAGGACAAGCTGTTCCTTCCAACACACCCTATTCAGTGATTCCATGAAAAGATCCATAAGAGTAGTCACTCAACTTGCAAACATTCTCCAAATAAATCGGAATTAAACATCTTCAATGGGTTCTTTTCACAGACGAGACATGAAAGCTTTTGGTGTGCATGTCTCATGCATCGAACCGGGATTATTCCAAACAGAATTGTCAGATCCAATAAAGGTAAATGAAAAAAAACGCGCCATTTGGAAACATCTGTCTGAAGACATCAAACAACAATATGGAGAAGGTTACATTGAAAAAAGTGAGTTTCTGGGTGGACCTGGGATGCTTTAGAGCTCAATATCCTAAGCAACATGAAGGAGACTCAATCACAAGGGAGGATACAGAGTCCCCAGCATAGTACACAAATAACACAACAAACAACGCAACACACTGGTATCAAGTCAGATCCGACTCATAGTGACCCTTCCTTGGGTTTCTGAGGCAGTATCACTACGGAAGTAGATTGCCCAACTTTCCTTCCAAGGAGTGTCTGGTGGGTTTGAACCTCCAGCCTTCTGGTTAGCAGTCAGATGCCTTAGGCACTACGCCACCAGAGTTCCCAATAAGGATCTTAAATGTGGATCAGGATCAGGATTCCTGATTATTCCAGTGCAGAGTGGCTGGTGGGTTCAAACCTTTTACCTTTTTCTTTAGCACAGTCCAATGCTGTAACTGCAGTGCCACCAGAGCTCCTTCCGAAAAGATTACCGCCTAGAAAACCCTATGGGTAGTTCCACTCCCTCACACGTTGGTATGAGTCAGAAGTCAATTGGATGGCAATAGCACTACAATGTAAATGAGGCATTAAAGACCCTAATTAAACTTCCTATATCACGCCTCTGCTTCTGCCTCAAACTTTCTGTGCCTGTTAAAGTTTATTAGATATTTCTCAAACACTTACTGAGCTCATGCTTTGAGTTAAACAGGGCCTCACCTAACTTTTGGATCACTCATTCCCTCCAACCTGTGACCTTAGGGCTGATAAGTTTCCATTGCTGGTTGATAAAACAGTCAAGGTTCTAGGTTAACAGTTCTCAAGGTGGGCTTGAGAGGAAAGTCAGAAGTACCACTATCCTTCTAAAATCTTAATGCTCTGTTAGTGAGTAGATTTTGTTTTAAAAATGAGGCACTTTTAAAAATAGCAGACTATCCCTTCTATCCTCACCCCTATGCACATATACACAGATGGGGGGTGGACCATGTGTATCAAGTTGAATATCTGGTTGGACAAGCTTCTTCTGGTCTCTGTGATACACTGCTCTGTTTCTCACTCACTCACTGCTTTTGAATATTCTAAGTAGATCCATTCCCATAGCGACACCTCCTTGGGTTTCCGAGGAGGTATCACTATGGAAGCAGATTACCTAATGTTCCTTCCTAGGAGTGGCTGATGAGTTTGAACCACCAATCTTCTGGCTAGCAATCAAATGCCTTAGGCATGATGCCACTAGAAGTCTCAAGTAGATCCAGTCTAAGATTGATTAAGACTTCAGAAACAAACCCCTTATTTAAAAGAACTTTCTTTTTTGATATTGGCATTGACACTTTTTAAACGCCTATGAATATTTCAACAACTTTCTTCTCAAAAGTATTGTTGACTTGGTCCCAAGTTCAGGAGGTCTGTCTGTGAAGTACCAGAAGGTGTGAAGCCCAATTTTGCACTGGTTGTTCTTAGACTTTTCCAAGCCAGGGCTTGGACATCAGTCAGACTCACAGTCCCGAAGTAGACTTCAAATTTCAGGTCAACTTTCATTTCCCGAGCTGGAGTTTTAGTTCTAAAGAGTTCCAGAGGCATATTAGGTAACTTTCTTAATTAGGTTATTTGGACAACTTGTGGCTACTGGGGCCTGAAGACAAAAGGAGGATTTAAATAATACATTTTTCCTTGAGAAGACCTCTCAGGAGTATTTTAAGAACATATGAGGACTGCTCCAAACCACTACCAACCCCTTTATAAAATACCTGCTATTTTAAAGATATCTTAAATATATTTCATTTGCCTGAGAACTGCGGTTCATTGGGCTTCCTGATATTTGGAGTGATTCTCTCTTTATTCACTGAATTATAGAGGCATTTATGGTAAATGAGTACACTCACACCCACCCCGATACACACACACACACAGCACACATGCACACCCACATTCCCTATAAACACAACACTCCCATAAAAACCAATTAGGAATCAAACCCATAACTTCCTAAGTTCAGTGTCTCATGAACATTATGAAGTATCTGTCTTCATTCCTTTAAAGCAGTGCTTCTCAAAGTTTGTGCCCCAGTAGCATCAGTGTCACCTGGAAGCTTGTTAGAAATGTAAAATCTTGGGCTCCTGCCCAGACCTACTGAATCAGAAACTCTGGAGGTAAGACCAAATAATCTGTGTTTTAAAAACACTGTTCTCCTTCTAGGAGATTCTACTGCCTATTTAATTTTAAGAACCTCTGATGTAAAGAAAGCACTGCTATGTAGTCTGCTGAGGAATAAGATTCAAACCATGCCAATGGGCTTGAATTTATAATGGGAAATCAAAGTCCCTCACCTAAATTCCCTCCTGACCACCATTTCCTTACATTCTCCTTTTCCCCTTCTTTCAAAGAGTAATGTACTTTTGTCTCTTTTTACAGGTCTTGAAAAACTGAGAGGCTCCACATCTTTTATAAATGCCGACCTCTCCCTGGTTGTAAAGTGCATGGACCACGCTTTAACAAGTCTCTTCCCTAAGACCCGTTATACTGCTGGAAAAGATGCCAAAACTTTCTGGATACCTCTGTCTCACATGCCAGCAGTTTTGCAAGACTTTTTATTGTTGCGACAGAAAGTAGAGCTGGCTAATCCCAAAACAGTGTGACTCAGCTGACCATGAATGCCTACCCCAGGCTACAAGATTGAATGATTTCAAGGATCTGGCTCTTTTCGATCCTTTTCCTTACTCCAGCCTGGGCTCATTTAGAAAACCATGCTTCTTTTGATAAAGGAATCCCACCACAGGGGTGATATCCCAGAGTCCTTTCTCATGCTTTCTTTGAAGAGGGCAGGGGTAAAAGTCACATGAGCAAGACCTACCCAATATTTAGGCTTGCCTGCTTGGGATGATATAAGGGAGATTGAAAGATTTTCCTGCTCCAAAATCATCTTTGCCATTGGCAGGCCCTATACCTATAGTCCCCACCATTTAGAGCAGCTCCTAAATGTTCAATATTTGTCTCTTATCAAAATATTAAGAAATAAGTAGAATACTTTCATAAGTGAATTAGATTTGTTCTGCTATCTTGCTAAAATCAGGCTCTGAAGGTCTGGAACTCTGTTCTGGTAAGCTTTGATGAGACAGGAAAAGGATGATGACAGAAACATTAAGAGGCATTGGTACAAGCTAAGGGATAGAAGGAAAACACTAGGTGGGGCAGCTAGTAGGAGGGGAGAAGAAGAGAGAAGGAAGAAGAGGGCTATACCCTCAAAAGGGAATATACCCATGACTATAGGTAAATTTGGCAGATGATATTTTTATACACATATTTGTATGTGTTATAAGAATGTCCATATATATAATAGAACTAATAGGGCAAAGTGATGACAACTTCTTAGCCACAGTGAAACACCCTGAGGAAATGAGTCACTGTGCCCACAGGCTTGGGACCATGGTCATGGGGACATCAAGTTCAATTGGCATATCATATGACACAAAAATGTTCTACATCCTACTTTGGTGTATAGCAACTGGGATTTTAAAAGCTTGCAGGCAGCCATCTAAGATACAACAATTGGTCTCTCCTTGTCCAGAGCAAAGAAGAATGAAGAAAATCAATGACATGTGAAAACAATTAGTCCAAGGGACTAGTGGACAATGTGAACCTCTATCTATAAGACCATGAGACCAGAAGTACTAGACGGTGCCCAGCTACCATTGTCAACCACTCACAAAGGGATCAGTGCAGGAGATCCTGGATAGACTGGGAGAAAAATGTGGACCAAAACTCAAAACCATCAAAAAGCCAAGCCTTACTGGTCTGATAGAAACTGGTGAAACCAGACTATGTCCCCTAGTCACCCTACAGGCCTGGAATTTAACTCACTTCTCTGGCTTCCAGCCAAACAAAAGACAGGCCTATAAGGTGAGCATTTACACCAGGTAGGTGCACTCATTAGAATGATCAGTGGTCAGAGCGGAGATCAGAAGGGCAATATTTGCACAGGGAGATAGCTCAGGGGGGCAGGAATGCATAGTTAAGAAGGACACAGAGAAAAGGTAACCACAGGGAGGAAGTGGGAAGAGAAACTTTGTGTTGTGGGGATTGCAATCAATGTCACAAAACAAAATTTTTTTAGGGAAAAAAAAAGAAGGGGGCTAAGAGGAAAAAAATGCTTGTAAAAGTAGGAAGGCTTCAAAACAAGCTTTCTACTCTATAGAGAGTTATGGAGAATAAACATCTTATTCAAGGCCAATGTGAATCTTGATGCACACACAGATGTCTGGTGAAAAGACGGGAATAATAGAGTAACAGGATACCAGCCATTCCAAAGAAGCAAAAACATAGAGTATTTATGTTTATTCTGGAGACTGTAAAAATAACAAGTGCCAGCATATCTGGTACAACTCATACTTGTGATGATTAGAAATCCTTCATTTGAGGTGTCTCTGAAGCCTTGTGAAGATAAAGAACTAAGTTAACATCTCACTTTACAGTGACAATGCAATTAGGCCTGCTCCTTGCTCATATTTGTGTCTCTAAAGTAGATTGACCCTTGACCCACACCTCCTCTAAAGAAAACAATTCCCTAAATGGGTGCTTCCCCAGATCCCAACACCCAGTGTCACCCTCAAAGTTTTGCTGAATAATTATGTGAAGAAGCCTGGAGTATCAGAAATCACTTGTCCTTTTTGTATCATTGAAGAAGATTAAAATGAAAAAACCAAAGTCACTGCCATTGAGTTGGAGCCAACTCTTAGCGACCCTTCCTTGGGTTTCTGAGGTAGTATCTTTACAGAAGTAGGTTGTCCCATCTTACTTCTGCAGAGCAGCTGGTGAGTTTGAACTGCCAACCTTCTAGTTAGCAAATGCCTTAAGCACTGAGCCACCAGAGCTCCATTTGAAGAAGATTGTTGTTGTTGTTGTTACGTGCCATCAAGTCGGACCTGACTCATAGCGTCCCTTCCTTGGGTTTCCAAGGTGATATCACTACGAAAGTTGATTGCCCCATCTTCCTTCCAAGAACTGGCTGGTGGGTTTGAACTGCCAGCCTTCTGGTTAGCAGTCAAGTGCCTTAGGCACTATGCTACCAGAACTCCCTTTGAAGAAGATTGTTGTTGTTGTTGTTACGTGCCATCAAGTCGGCCCCGACTCATAGCGACCCCTCCTTGGGTTTCCAAGGCAGTATCACTACGGAAGTAGAATTGCCCAACCTTCCTTCCGAGGAGTGGCTGGTGGGTTTGAACCGCCAGCCTTCTGGTGAGCAGTCAAGTGCCTTAGGCACTATGCTACCAGAGCTCCTTTGAAGAATATTAGGATGCCACAAATATTAAGTTTTTCTTTTCTTTTCTTTTTTTCCCAATAAAGAGAAGTGGTACTATGAGAACCACAGGGAGGTAACAGGCTGGACTATCCTAATCACTCATTTGTGTCCCCAGGCTAGGATAGCCCTGGGGACACAAATGAGAGAAATAAAGGGATCTTAGCTGAAACAAGTCATGGTCCTCCCAGCACTACAAGGCTGCAATCTAATAAAAGACCAGTAAGGACCCCACTCCCCAGTTGGCCCGGAGGAGATCATCTAGACAGCATCTGCCTCACAGAGACACTTCCATAACAGCGTCCTCGATATGGCATGTTTCTGCTTCAGTGTAACAAAAAAAAATAGGGAGGTCTCTGCCTTCCAATTTCTTTTCTTTTCTCTTTTTTAGCTCTAGTTATTAGGGCATTTTTTAAATTACTTTTGAGCCAAATACTGTAAGTGGAAGGGAGAAGAGAGGAGAAAAGGGTGCTGTTCCTACTACCATCATGATAATAATCATTCACGTTCATTGAGCTCTTACAATGAACCAGAAACCCCTCAGAGCGCTGTACATGCTGTTCACAACTTTTATACAACAGGCATTTTTATTATCCTATTTTATAGATGAGGAACCAAATATCCAAGATTTTTCTCAGCTCTAATAATCTACAATTTTTTAAATCCTCCTTGGTAAAATGTTAGTTCCTTAAGATTTGAAAAATTAGACAATGAATTTTATAAACCAAAATACTTTCTTAACATTCTTTCTGGAACTCTGGATCTATCCAAATGAGAAACTGTAAACCGCTGAGTGTTGAAAGCATAAGACAAGCCGTCTGCCAGTGATTTCTATTTCCTTGTTCCTCGGAGAGAAATGACAGACAAGGGTATCCAGACTCTTTCATTTTCCCACTTACTCTCTACTTCCTGCTGCAAACCCCCTTCTAAGAAATATGGCTTTTCTCATGAGCAGAAATACGAAAAGGCATCCCATATATTACAAATTCCAATGCACATTGCTGAATGAAATAAATAAAAATGAAGTTAGAAAAATGCTCTTGACAGAAAGTCTTCCCAAGGACTCAAGTCTTCTGTTGTACTCCCTTCCTGGTAACTTCTTGACCTCCACAAGTAGATTAGAACCGGATCTGAGTCCTAGCTCCTAGATGAACATTTTTATCAGTGATTTAGAGGAAGGCACAGTGGCATAAACCATTTTACGAACACCTAAACCATTGACATTGAATTGACTCATGGTGACCCCATGTGTCTCAGAATAGAGCTGTGCTCCATAGAGTTTTCAAAGACTGATTTTTCGAAAGTAGATGGCTAGGTCTTTCTTTCAAAGTCCCTCTGGGTGGACTCCAACCTCCACATTTTCAGTTAATAGTCAAGTGTGTTAACCATTTGCATGATGCAGGGAGTCCAGAGAAAACACAAGATAGAATCTGTGTCTTCAATCCCTCTTTGGGTTCTGCCCATGGGCTTACAAGATGAAATTATATAGAAGAAGATGTAGGGTTCTGCCATGGTTCCAAAAAGTAACCGAGATTCAGAGCCATATTGTGAAAACGATGCAGATACTTTATTTAATAATCAGTTCAAAGTAAGTTAATGGTGTGATGTAATTGCCTTCATAAGAGAGATAAAAATAAACGATGCTTTTATCTTGGTGATTTAAGATTTTAAGTTACAACCTATAGAGTAATGGAGATGATGTTCCTGTCTACTCTCAGCTGCTCAGAGAACTGGTAAAATTTTGCCTTGACTATTGAGAATCCCACTCTCATAGAGCTGTAGATAGAAAGCGGGGCTGGGAGATCAAGGTAATCCAAAGTCCAGGCTATCTGAGGAAGAACTGGAGAATCTGTGCTTGTTTGCATGGAAGAAGAGCCTGATGGGAAACAGGGCCTCCTTGTGATACAGAAATTAACCTCATTCTGAGCAGCACAGAATGATAGGCAGCCACAGTTGATAGGTGAGTACAAGAGGTTGATAGGTGAGTGCTTGGAGTAGGGATGCTGAAGAAGGTATTCAAAAGTATGAAGTCAGAGTTGCTGACTTGGTTGGCATTTGAGGACTCTTCCAAACCTAAGATACTTTAATTGGGAAGGGGAAGTGCTTTCCTCAAATATAGTACATACCAGTATACAGATCATTAAGAATTTCTAGTCTCTCAAACCTGAGGAAGCAACAAGCCGAATGTCTTTCACACCTTTTCTCATAAGGGCTGAAATTTTATTTCTTCAAGACATGAGAGCTTGCCCTAGCCTTCTAAAGAGAAAAGAGAGTGATTCTCAAAGTGGGAGTAATAGACATCAAAATAAACTTGAGCTAAATGTCAGACCTGGCCCAGTGCCA